CAGTGATGAAAATACCAGGAAGCTGAAGCCGAGCACAGCACCTGACGTCTCAGGATGTCTTCCACGAAAAAAGGCCAATTGAGCGAAACGTGCTCTAGATCCGGGCCAGGCCGACAGTTAGTCATGGAACGAAAAAGAAACCTCTGGGGATCACATTCCCATTCCTCGTCAACCGACCCTGTGTCCAGGTCAGATTCTGACCCTTTCACAGTCACGTTTAAAGAGATAATAAAATTAATAATGCTTTCTCTGGGCCTCGAACCCCAGACCCTCTCTGTGTGTAAGGCAGTTTTGTAGGCGTGCTAACGTGCTACGCTATGGGAAATACAGAACATTGACGCAATTATAAGGAAGGAATGTACACATTTATGTGAGCAAAAAAAAAAAAAATTTAAAGAATTTATAGTTTTGTATTTTAATTGAAATTATTTGACGTTTCTTTTGATTCATTTAAACATCTCAGATTTTGAGTTTGAAAGATCTTTTGAAATCTGTGATTCTAATGTTTCTAAACATCTGAGATTTTGAGTTTTAAAGATCTTTTGAAATCTGTGATTCTATTCGAGCAAAAACGCTGTAAAAACAATGTGTTTTTACAGAGTAAATAAAAGTCATTTCACAGAATATTTAACTTTTCACTTCAAGAAAAGACTGAACATTTGTTTATGGTGTGTCTGTTAAGCAAACCTTGTCAGTTTGAAGTTCAGTGATTGTTAAAGAGCGTAGCTCAACACAATCCAACCAATCAAACATTTGTACACATTAGTTGATTTTTCCCCTCAGTGTTACATTCAGGGACCAACCCTGCTGAATGTGCACAACCTTTGAAGCGTTGCCAATATTTCATGATAAACTCCTTTGTTTCTGTGTGGAGGACAGCCGGATGGGTTTGGGACCAAATGATGAAACAGTGTTTCTTAATGCAGTCTCCCACATGGTTGAGCAACAGAAGAGGAAACCGCACTACAGTTTTTGCTGATAGTGGTTCCCTGGATCTGAGGTCATCTAAGAACTAGTCCGCTACGTCCAGATGGTCGTAGCAGTGGTAACAGTGTAACATGAATGGGCTACAACACTGCATTATGGCCCAGTGGAGTCCTCAGAAAACACACAGGGTTGGTGTGTTAGTGTGTACGTCCAGGTACGTGCCGGGACTTACCTCGGAGTTTTTTCTGCCAGTTCATCTCATTGAAGAGATCCTCCGCTCGCAGGAAGAAGTCGTTGATCTTGCTTCCCTGCTCGTCTCTCTCTGTGGTGTAATACACCCTCAGCTTCGACTCCATGGTCAGAAACTCGCAGATGTTGGGCACGGGGAAAACAATTTCCTCCATCGTACGATCCTGGCGCACAATCTGATAAGAGCAGGATATTTTCACTTGTAAAGATTTGTATGGAGCAAATTCAATGCCCCCCCCCCCCCCCCCCCCCCCCCCCCACCACACCCCCACACCTTCTTTGCCCGTTGTTTGTTTTTTTTGT